GCGCCGCGCTGGGCTGGGAGGACGGCGGAGGGAAGGCAGCAGGCCCAGGCCTACAAGACCTAGAAGCACCAGGACGGGGATAGATTCCCAGCTCTCAGGTCAGCCGAGGTGGGAAGCGGCAAACCCAGCTGCCCGCTGGCACATCCAGCATCCAGGGCTCAGCAGGGCCCGAGGGCTTCCAGACCGAGGCCGCTGCCTCGAGGCCCGAGGCTCGCTCATCCTCGTCGACTCGTGAGCGCGAATTCGGATGCGTGAGCCCGGGTGCATGAGCCCGGGCGCGGACTCCGGTGCATGGACTCCGGTGCGTGCACCCAGCCGGTGACCGCGGGCTCGCAGGATCCCCGGGGATGCTCTTTGGCTCCCACGCGAACTTAGGCGTCTCTGGCCGGTTCTGAGTGTTTTCTTCTTGGGGAACCCCAACCGTTCCCACAACCAGGGGACTCAGAGGCCATGCCACCGCCGCGGAATAAAAGCTCCCCAAAGGAAAGCCGCGCGCGCGGCCCAAGGCAGCCGCTTCAATTCCGGCTGGTGCAGCCGCGCTGGGGCCCCTGGAGAGCGGGGTGGACCGCGTCCACCAGCGTTTTTCCTGCGCGGGATCCTGGAAGCAAGGAGCGAAGGGAACGTCTGCACACTGCTCGTCGCGAGTTCACCGAGAAAGTCCGTTCCCGTGGCGGCCCGAGGACCCCAAAGAAAGACGCAGCTTCCAAACCCAGCGCCCGGCTAGGTCGTCGTGGTCAACCGCGCCACTTTAAGGAGTTGCAAACTGGAAGCCCGCGGGCCTATCCGGCCCACCTGCGTGTCTGTGGGGCTCTCAGCGTGGCATAAAGTGGGGCCCGAAACCCGCGGGGAGGAGAGCGCGCGCTCCCAGCTCGCCGGGCTCCCGCCGCTGCCTCGGGTTGTCCTGCACCCGGACCGGCCCCCTCAGCAGTTTCAGTTTGCGTCTCCTTTCCGAGTAACTGCACCGGGTGTGTACTGCACAACGGGGCAGGGATGCGGTCCGAGGGCCGGCGGGGACGGCAGCTGTGCCGGCATGAACGACAGTCCCTCGCGGCGCCGCCGGCCGCCCTAATGAGGGGCCGCCTGGGCTCACCCGCTCTGGCCCTTCCCGGGCCCGCGCCGCGCGCCCACCCCAGCCTGCTAATTGCCAAAGCCTTTCCGCACCTCCCGCCACCCAGATGGGGGCGTCAGGGACAGATGGGGTGAGGCGCGCAGGGTGAGCGTTAGGAGCGTCATCTAAGGGGGCTGGGGCGTAGGGGGCGGGGGGCAGCGCGGGAGCTCCGAGGATTCCTGACGGACGGCTGACCCAGAGCCCGGCTCGGGGGTGGGGGTGGGGCGAGGGAGGCGAGGGGGACCTGAGTGGGGGTGGGGCGACCTCCCCGACGCAGGCTCTGGAGCCAGACTCCCGGATTACAACCTTGCCACCTCTGTTTACTGGCTGTGCCCCTGAGCGAGTCACTTACCCTCTCTGTGCCTCAGTTTCCTCACCTGTAAAATGGAATAATTGCACCATCCTCAGTGGGTTACTGTGAGAACTGAATGCATTAATAACACAGGTAAAGCTCTCAGTGCGGTGCCCTTATACGCCTAGCCTTCGCTTAATGTTGGTGCCTCCTCTTCCAGCCTCCTCCACCTATTATTAGCATCCTGAGCTCCCTGGAGGCCAGCCTGGAGCTGCCTCCTTGCTCCCAGGTCTGCCGCATCTGTTCTTCACTGCAGCCCCTGCTCCACACCTGTCCCCTACCCCCATAACCAGGCAGGACTTCGCAGTCAAAGGGCAATAATGCGGCCCCTAAAAGAGAGACAGGGAGTAGGTTTGTGAGGGAGCAAGTGATCCCCTCTCTGCCCTGCCTAGGATGGCCCATCACCCTGACAAGGAGTGGGGGGCTTAGCCCCAGGGCTCTAGCCTATGGGCTGTCTGCAGCCTCCAAACCCAGGAGTGGCATGCCAACCCATGCTGTTCCACGCTCCCTCTGCCCGGCCAGGGTGACATTCAGTGCAGCAACCTCTTACCCTCAGGACGGCCAGGCCTGATGCTGGCCTCCCTTACAGGTTGGCAAAGACAATGAGGGGCCTGTCACCAGCAAGGTGTCTTGAGACCCTTGGTGTAAGGTCTCAAGACCCTACTGTACCTGAGACACTTGTGTGGGGACAGGAAACTTGGTCCAAAGTCTGTAATAAAAGAGAACATAAAATGCGAGGTGGGGCTTTTTGTATAGGGGGAATCACGTGCCTTAGTTGAACTTCTCAGGGACATCAAGGTGTTTACTTAACAGTAGGAGTTCACATGGATTGCTAAGTGGATTCTGCTCTAAAGGGAGGAAGACAGAAATTTTTCCAGCACTGAGAGTGTCCAGGGGCCTTAAAACCCAAATGCCTTGGCCCTGGAGCTCTTCTGGTTTCCGTCTGGCAATGAGAAGGACAGGTCCTGCCTACGGGGCTGCCCCAGTCCCAGATGCCATCTGTGTCCCTGGTACTTGGTCTTCCTACAGTACACGGGCCTTGCTGGCAGTGTGACATCATCAGTTCTCAGCAACATGTTCCCCCCCTGGGATGCCCGTTAGGTCTGAGGGTTTGCCTGGCTCCGCTGCTCACTGCCTGTCTCTGGGATGCGGAGATCCAACTCTACGGGTGCCAGAGGCGCCCTACAGCACCCAAGGGGCTCTGGCCAGTCCTCCAGCACCATATCCAGGGAATCATCATTTTCTGTGACTCCTGCCCAGTAAGGGGGAGAGGCACCTGAGGACACTGCGCTGGGGCACAGAGAAGGGGGAGGGCTCTGCTCCCCAACATCGCCTTAGCTGAGTTCTTAGGGGAAAGGGCAGGAGGAAGAATCTCGGAGACCATGGGGTTAGTGATCGAAGTCCCTGGGCTAGGCGGCTAAGAGCTGGGGAACCGTGAGGGCCACGTGGGAGGTGGAGAAGCTAAGCTGCGGCCCAGCGCTCCAGACAACCTCTGGACTGACGCTCCCAGGACAGGGACCGCCATGCCAGGCCCTGCAGACCGCTCTGCCCAGGACTGCTCGCTACCTCCCTTTCCCTTCCCCTCTCTCAGTAGGGGGCCCGCCCCCAATTAAGGGCCCTCGGGAAGTCAGAGTAGCTGCAGAACACCTTCTCAGGCTCTACTCAGAAGCCCAGACGCTGGCCTGAGCCCCTCACCCCACCCCCGCCAGTCTAGGGCCACCCCCGGCAAGGAGCCACCTGCTCTGGGTGGCCATGCGCACGCTCGTGTGCGCCTCTGTGTGCCTGCTTGGCGTCCAAGGACGCTCCGCTCTCGCACGTGGTGGCCGAGATCCCTGGCTGGGCATGCAGTTTAGGCGGGTGGCTCCGGAAAGGGCCCGGAGCCTGGTTGGATCTAGTCCCTCCTTCCTTGGGGGCCCAGATCTGGCCTGCCGGGCGGTTGGATGCCGGCCGAGAGCTTGGGTACCGGGGCGGGAGGAAGACTTGATTTATTTCAACAGCTGCCCCCCTCTGCAGACGCCGGAGCCCTAACCCGCACACGCCAGCCTGACGGTGGGTACAGGAAACCGCGACTACCACCGAGACCCCAGCCCCACCATGCTGGTTCTCAGCTCCCACCCTTCCGAGTTCCAGCTTCTTCGCATCCCTCTGTGTCTGCAGTTGGACCCAGTTTTGAATTCTTAACACATTTCGTTTCAAATGGGACTTCGAAATAAAAGCTACTAGATACTGCCCTACCCTCTTCTTTGATTCGCCAGTGCAGCTCGGGTCCCTGTCCCATTCCTCACCCGTCCCCAGCCGCTCGGCCTTTTCCCAGCTTTCGGTGAAAAGCGAAGCCCATTCGAGGCCTGCAGCCTCGGATCCCTGGGCGCCTGCTGTTCTGGCCAGCAGCCCGACACTACTCCTGGAGGACCCGGCACCACCTGTCCCCGCCCTAGGGGATGGGGCCGCCCTCAGTCCTGGGCAAGGCGAGTCCGCTGGCGCCGGGTCAGGGGCCGACCTCAAGAAATGGGGTTCCGACTAGGGAAACCTTCTCCATCCCCAGGTGCCCCAGGTGCAGGGACCTTTCACCGGTGACTACCGAAGACGTGGTCGGCGAGAGAGCCCAGGGTCGGAGGACCGGTCTACTGCGCCCGCACCAGTCGCGGCTTTCAAGGGACTGCATCTCCCGTAAGCCCGCGGGCTGGAAGGCGGCAACGTGGTCTGTCCTCCTCCTTGACCCGAAAGGCCGAAGCTTTTTAATTTTTACCCAGAATCTCTCTTAAGAGCCACGTGCTAAATTTATATTGCAATTTTGGATTATGAGGAGCCCAGTGGCCGCGAGGAGACAAGCGGTGGCCCCGGGGCAGAGCATGGAGGCCGAAGCACGGCTCCTGAGAATCTCGCTCTGGGTGACCGTTCCCAGCACCTGACACCTTGCACGTCAAGGCCCAAGTGGGCGCCCGGGGAGGGTCGTGCATCGAGCAGGGAAGGGAGCGAAGGGTTAGTGGATCCCGCGCCCAACGCTCCCGCAGCGCTTTGCCCCGAACGCGGTGGCGCCGCAGCCCGGGCCCCACGTGGCTGGTCCGCAGCTGAAACCAAGGGAAGCCGCCGGCAGGATGGGGGCGGGCGATCGCCTCCGAGGAGCAAGAAGATAAAGTCCTGGCAGGCAGGGGGCTGAGCGGCGGGACCCCCACCCGAAGGCACGGCCCTCGCCCCCAGGCCCAAAGTTCCGCGCGCTGGGAGGGAACTTTTCACTTTCAGCGAACTCAACCCTCAACCGAGGGGAAAAGGAGTTTCGGATTGGGCGTCGGAAAATAAAAGTAAGAACAAGCGAGTTGTGAGAACCCCCGGAGGATGTGCTCAAAATGTGTCTTAAAGAGAACGTAAGTGTGTTTGGGGGGGTGGAGGGGGGGTGGCGGGAGAAGGAGAATAGTCAAACTATTTTTCTCCAGGATGAAACCAGCGGAATGGTCCCCAAATCCGGCTCCAAGGGATGGAGTCCTGAACTCCCTTCTCGGGATGGCTCCCCGCACCCCCACCCAACCATACGGCTGGAAGACACCCGACTTTAGGTTTTATTTAAAATCTCAACACTCGATCATTTATTTCGTTTTTGCAACCAAACAAGTAATAAATATTATTTAGCACTTTTTTTCTTTTTACAAAAATAAAACAGATGATACACTCTCTGCGAGGGTCTGCGTTCAGAGGAGAGATGTTACTTGGCAGACGCTGAGGAGCCCATATTGCAACTCGGGTAGCGCCGAGGCGTTTCTGCGGACGCAGGAAGCACGTGGAGGAGTTTGTCATTTGTGTTAAACTTGGCAAAAAGAAACCGAAATAGAGGAAACCCAGCTTAGACTCCGGTGGGGCTGGCAGTCACGTGAGCAAAGCTTAGCCGCACGCACTTACCTCATCATGGATATTATATTTACACACCCAAGAAAGAAAACTTTAAAAAGCCAAGAGAACCCACAAATAACCCAAGCTGGATTCACGGCAACAGCCTGTGAGTTCCGGCAAACCCTCAGGTACCAAAACGACTGCCCCAATCGGGTAAGAAACCAAATCATTTCGTGCTCAGAGACGGAAAGAATGGGGAAGGGGGGAGAGAGTCTATTTTAAAATAACTAAAAACCACCCGCCCCCAAAGTCGACAGTTTTAGGTTATTCCAATCCACAAGTGGTTCTACTCTGACCGTCTATAAAGCTTGCTCATGCTGTTGACAAAGGAACATCGACAGATTATCCAGATTATCGGAAAACCACAAACCCCCAAACCAATTGGAGCGACAGGGAGGAACGGCAACAGTTCTCAGACGGTTGTGGGTTTACCCAGCTATCGAGATCCGACACGACCCTAAATGCTTCTGGTACCGAATGCCAGCTTCCAAATAACTCTCTGCCCCTGGCCCTGGGCCAGCGACGACCCTTGAGGGAGAGGCCAGACCGCCGCTCCTGGAGGGCGGCTCCCGCGAGTCTCCCACCCGCCAAGGAAGGAGCGAGGAGAGGAAGTCCTCAATGCTCTCCTCCCTGCCCCCCGCCCCACTGTAACCTAGTGCTGCCCGCGCCGAATGCGACCTTGTTCACGGGGAAACCACAGTTTATAGGATCATCTTTTTTGTGGGGGAGAGGGTCGAGGGAGGGATGCACGCAGCGGTGCCTTCTTATAAATGGTGTCTACCGGACCAGCGCTGTTTAAAGCCAGAGAGGGCTGGACCAGGTCCGGGAGCGAACGCCCCTCTCCCTCCGCACTGTTCAGCGCGCGCCCCCGTTGCTTGGCTTCCCCGGCGCTGGAGTCCTCACCATCGCCCCCCACCCCAGCCCATGGTCCTACGCTCCTCCTCGGAACTGAGTTCCCAGACCCCAGCGCCGGCCGGTCCTTGCTTCCCCCGCGGCCTCTGGGCACCCCTGCTCGCCAGAACGCGCCGCCGCGGGACCGCTCACTTAGCGTCGGAGGTGAGGCGCGGCAGGCTGCCGGTGCCCATGGCCGACACGTGGTGGTGTGGCGGTGGGACCTGACACATGCTGCAGGGGCAGGGCATGCCGCCCCAGTGCTGGAAGCCGCCGCTGCCCCCGCTGCCGCCGCCTCCGCCCCCCAGCGGGGCCGCCGCCGCTGCCGACGGAGACTTGAGCAGGCCGTGCGGGGGCCGAATGGAGCCGACCGACGACAACCCAGAACCGGGCAGGGAGGCGCTGGACACCGCGGCGGCGGCGGCAGCAGCGGCGGCAGCGGCGGCGGCCGGAGGCAGGATGGGATGGTGCACCGCCGGGTGGTGCGCGGCGTGCGCGGCGGCCGCGGGGTGTGCCGTGGCGGCGGGCAGGGGCGCTGAGTGCGCCAGGCCGCCGCAGGCCGACGGGTGGAAGCCGGCGTGGTGGCCGCCGTAGATCTCGCTCACCAGCCGCTTCATCTCCTCCAGCGAGTTGGTGAGCATGAGGATGTAGTTGCGCGCCAGCAGCAGCGTGGCGATCTTGGAGAGCTTGCGCACGGACGGGCCGTGCGCGTAGGGCATGACCTCGCGCAGCCCATCCATGGCGATGTTGAGGTCGTGCATACGCTTGCGCTCGCGGCTGTTGATTTTGAGGCGCAGCTGCTGCAGCTCGGGCTCTGTCATCTGTTTCTTGTCCTTCTTGGTGGACGACGCGGCCGCCGACGACGTGGACGATGAGGTGCTGGACGAGGATGACTTGAAGCCGCCGCCGCCCAGCTTGTCCCCGGGGTGCGCGCCCGCCGTGCCCATGGCGCCACGCAGCTCGGCGCTCAGCTCTGGCGGGCAGTCGCTCGGCGTGGACGAAGACACGGTGCCTCCCGTAAAGCCGCTGCCGCCGCTGCCCTTACTCCGGGCGGGCAGAAAAAGGTCATCGGGCTCTGGCGACGACGGGCGGCTGGACACCAGACTGGCGTCCGAGTCCATGGCCCCGAGGGATAGTCGCGCTTTGGCTGAGTCCTCCCTCCCTTGGCCCTCAGAGCTTCCACGCACACCTCCTGCAGAGAAGAGAAAAAAACAGGAGAGAGACAGAGATCGATCGAGATCAATAGAGAGAGGCACGAAGTCGGTGAGAGAAAAGCCGCTCCCGTCTGCACCGCAGCGCGGGGTCCAGGCGCGGCGGCGGGTCGCTCTGTGTCCACCTCGCTCTCTCTGGCCTTCCTTCCAGCGGTACACAGGTACGCTTAAGTCATCTCTCTGTTTCCCTCCCCGTCGCCTCCCCTCCACAGGTGGTTTTGTTTCGGGGAGTATGGATGCCCCTCAGTGAGGGTGGCATTCTAGAGGTTTTATGCCTTCAGTTAGGAATGGGAAGCCTGGATCTCCAGGACTGGAAGAGTAGCGAGCGAGGGTTTTTTTTGGAGGGGGCGGGGGGAGGGTGGAGATCTAAACAGAGAAGTATTTGGTTCCTCAAACGCATCCACCTTATCTCCATCGACACCGCGGAGCAAACACACGCGCACACGCGCACACACGCTCGCAGCGCCCGCGCGGGGCCCAGATTCCATGAGCTGCGTCGGGGACCGCGGAGAGCTCGCCAGCTGACCGGGACTTGGGGAAAAGGAACTGTCGTCGCCCCGACTCCTCGCTTTCGGGCGTAGGGGATGCTGCGATGAGTGTGGGGAGGGTCAGAGCAGCGAAGCCGCTCAGGGGAACTGACTGGTGGGGGCGGGATCGGAGCCCCCTCTATCAGAGCTTCCTGGGTCGCAGCTGAGTTAAGGGGCGTCTGTTCCTGGGATACAGGCAGGGACTGCTGGGGGGCGGGGACACTTACTGTGGATGCAATTAGAGGAGCTGGTTCCCCAAAGCCGCAGCAGAGAACCGTGGTCCGGGCGCTGATGTCGCGTCGGTCTATAATAAGCATCCGCACCTTTCGGCGCTCTGCCCGTTTTTATAGCCCGGTGGCGGCGGCGACGGCGGCGGTGGCCGAGGCGGGGGCGGGGAACAATGTGCGGGTCCTGGAGGGGCCGCGGCGCCAATGAGCTGGGCCCGCCCGGGGGGCTGGGAAGCTGATGTCATCCGGGCTAATTCCGCTCAATGAAACTCGCCCGGCCCGGCACACGCCTCCTCCCCGCGCGCAGCCAATGGGGGCCCGCGGCCGGGAGATTCTTGGGGAGGGACTGGAGGAGGGACCGAGGGCGAGGGGGTGGGGGAGGGCAGGCCCGTGGGGGAAGTAGAGAGAGCCGAGCGCGGTTGGGACCGAGGGAAAGAGGAAACGTTGTCACACTTCTATAAAAATACGGTGACCACAGAGTTAGGCTGGGAGATGGGGTGGGCTAGGGGCTCTGCAGACAGACTAACCTGATACCCAACGCAGTCGTATCTTTTGGGATGCGCGCGGATAACCCTAGCGACCCAGGAGCCGGGGCTAGAGTCTCCTCCTTTGCTTTTCCTGTCGCTCTTTCTGGGTTCTCGCCGCCTGTCCCCACATCATGGGTTTCATCAACTGTGGGCATTTTGAGCCCCAAAAGGAAAGGATAACCAGGCACAAAGCTCCTACTTTCTTCTCACTCTAAGCGCGCGTCTAGGTGGCCGCTGTCGCAGCTCGTCGGGCGGCCGGTAGCGCCCCCAGCTGGGGCCAGAGTTTTGAGAGGAAGAAGGAGAAGGAAGCAGGAGACCGACTCCAGGACGGTGTTTTGAAAGAAATCACAAGTCTTCATTAAGTTGAAGATGACTCGAGTAGACACAGGAACGAGTTATTTTCATACAGTAACCACGCTAGAGGCGAGCCCAGAGTTAAGAACCCCCTTCCCAGCGCGGGAACCGGATGATGGTATTTTCAGCATCATCTTTGTGGTCATCACCACGCCATGGGGTAGGGGGCACGTGGGTTTGCCTGCAAAAAGAGGTCTCAGGTCAGGGCAAAAACTTCTGCTCACCATGGGCCAGACAGCGAGATCCAAACACTCGCGGCCGCGTTCGGTCACATTTTACAGCAGCCTGGCTCCCAAACCCAGAAACCCTTGGCCATGAGGAATTAAGTCGGGTCTGGAGAAGCGCATAACTGAGGTAGTTCCGAGATACCGACGCATCTACCCGTTTTACAGATGGGAAAATAGAGAGTCTGGGTCTGCCGCAAGCCTACAGAAAAAATGGCTAACCTTTTGCAGCGCTGCCCAGACTGGACTGGACATGCCAGCGCTGGCGGTTGTTTATCTAGAAGCCGCTGTCCGTCTCCCCAGATGTTAACCTTTTCCCTCAGCTGAGTTTCTCACATGCATACATTTCCAGGACAGAAGTGTTTGTTTTGGCAGATCCTGAACTCCAGCCGTTTATACTGTGTGTGTGTGTGTGTGTGTGTGTGTGTGCGCGCGCGCGCGCGCGCACACACACACACACACGCACAAGCCGCGGCCCTCTCCCCATGGGAGTGTTATCATCTTCTGGTTACCACCGTTTTTTGAGAACTTTTAATTTGCATGTGTGGCTTAAAAAATAGACACATAGGCGTAGTAAGGAATTCGCCTTCAAGGAGCAAAGTTACAAAATAAACAAATACAAAAGGAAACCCCCGCTGTGGCTTCCAGGTCCTGGCTAGGTACCCCCATCCCGTCTGTGCTAGAAAAGCCCCGGCGAGCAGGCTCTCTCCTTCGCCTCAATCTCGTGCCTTCTGGAGCATTATGTTTCAACCCGCGTGTTTTCCAGCTGGCTCTGCAGCCATCCGTTAAATATGTATTTAAAACATGAAGAACTGAAGCGTGGAGATATGTCGTCCAACCGTTACGGAGGATGACCCATAGGCGCTCAATTAGGAGAAGCTGTCACATGGAAGAACGCAGGGAACAGGGGGTGGGGACCAGGAAGAACTCAGATATTTAAGGATCATTTCTTTGAGACTCCCCGGCCACCGGCGGTGAGGACATTCATGAGGCTGTGAGCTGTGGGCCACCAGCTGGGGCGTGGACTTGTGCGCACGCCACTGCATCTAATAAACACCAGCAGGCGCAACGTGTACGCGTCTGGGTTGCAGCCGCTGGGGTTAGTCCAGCGGGGAACGCGTGTCCCGGAGCCCCGGTTCCTTTTTTTGTTACTTGCCACCGGCGACTGCTCTGCGTCCAGCGGTCCTCGAGAGCGCGCGTTCTGGGGTTCTTTACGATCTTGCTGCAGTAGCTGGAATTGGAAGCAAGGGCGAAAGTTGTGGGGCCGCTACTGGCACGGCGCGAGTTTAGAGCCCAGGAAGGTCCGGAGGCAGAAGAGCTGCTGTGCTCGCCAGTTTCCGCACGCTCCAGGCCCCAGCCCCGCGCCACTGAGCCGCGGCAGTCAGTGGTGGCTGTTCTTGGGCTGTGCAGCGGCACCTGGCTATCCTCAATCCCCCCGCCCGGAGCTCGGGCTGGCAGCCCTGGGTTGCAAGCCCCTTCCCCCGCAGCCTCCCTCAATGTCCTCTGGTCGCCAGACAGTTGCTGGGGGTGGGGTGAAGGCAGTCTGTGTCCCCCTGGGCTCCTTTGGTCCAGGGGCATATTGGTCGCTGGACACATCTTGCCATGTCTCCGAGTCCTCCTCCCCCTCCAGGAGTAATCGGAAACTAGAGCCGGGCCACAGGCGCTTGTCCTTGGGCGTCCTGGAGGCGTAGGGCACTTGGCCAGGTCTTGCGTTGGGCGCCTAGTGTGAACGTCCCGGGCAGGTCCCGGGCACCACGGTTCCCACCGGAGCGCGCAGCTGGACCGCAGCCCCTTCCCGCGAAATTGAGTGCTCACTTGCCAAGGCTAATGGGCCCGGGCTCTGAGAGTTCCTGGTTGGCCCAGGCATCCTGGAGCTGTCGGCCTCCTCCGTCAAAACGGAAGACATGTTTTTCCCTCTCCTTTGTGTTTCTTTCCTACAAAAGGCCGGGTGCGTGTCGGGCCGGCCTTTGCTCAGCCGCCTGGCGGCCCGGGAGGAGCTTGTGCCAAACGGGCCGGGGCGGGCTCGTGCGGAGCTCCAAGACGCAGACCTCCCACTGCTCCCCGGTTCCTCCCGGGCCTTTCTTTCCCTTCTCGCCTTTCCCTTCCTCAGGTTCCTGCACACATTCAGCCGGTTTTTCGGCTTGGCTGCCTAGGAGAGCTTCGTCGTTGCGCAGGGCGGGCCAGGGCAAGCAGTGGGAGGGGAAGCTCCAGGCCCCGGAAAGGAAAGAAAAAACCATTTCAGCCATAGTTCTGGTCCGGAAACTAGAAAGGATGTGGAATGGCAGCGTTTGGCGCCCAAATGTGAGCGATGAGCCCCCTCCGAAAGCAGAACTCTGCAAACAAATGACATTCGTCTTCCTTGCCAGACTCAGCTCGAAGAGCTGTCCCGGGTCATCCCGATGTCGAGGTGGGGGGTGGGGGTGGGAGTGTGGTTGGGGAGGGCGCAGGGGGGCCGCACGGAGCACAGGACCTGACTTTGGTAAATACTTCTGAATGGCACATATGTAAATGTGCACCTGGGCTAGTGTGAAATGCGACTGGTAAAATACTCGTAAATTTGGGTGAAGGTGTATGTGTATTTATTTGGTGCACAAAGTAAACCACGGGATCTGTAATTTGCATTACTGGGTATATGGAACCTTTAGAATGACAGGGGTGGTGGCTTCTATCTAATGACAACTCTGGCTAAAGACGACCTACAGATGCAGGCCCTTAGCAGGTCTTGACAGACTTCATCTCATTTAATCTCTCACTGATGGCAGGAGGGAGGTGTTACTCCCATTTTACTGATGGGGAAACTGACACTCAGAGAGATGTGGCCATTTGCCCAAGGTCCAGGGAGCAGAGGGGCAGGTCCAGGGAGGCAGGGCGAGGTGAGGGAGGCAGCTGAGGAATGTGAGTCAGAGACTTAGAGATTACCATTGTGAACTCCTGGCTTCAGGTTCTCATTCCTAAAGTGGGTTTCTAGAAGCTACCTGTGGCCTCTAAGAGTGTGTCTGCTGTGAGTTGGAGCACGGGAGAGGTTCAAACGGCAGCCTCCTCTTGCAGTTTCTCTATTCTGCTAATACTCAAGCTATTCCAGGGCTGTGAGGTGCTGAGGCTCGAGGACCCACTGCCCTGGCCTGGCTCAGGCTTGGGTGTCAGGAAGGCTGGGCCTAGGGGAAAATTTGGGAGGAATGTTCTGGATCTTAGGGGGAGGGAGGCTGCTCCAGGAAGCTAAAGGGCAGCCTAACAAAACCTCAAAATGATAGCCACTTCCGGGAGTCAGCCCCTCCCCCCATCAACCCCTTCTGTCAAGCCAGCACGACTGCCACCTGCTGCTAAGCGTCAGGGCCACTGAAATTAAGCTGCTCCCCAAGTTCACAGTGGAACGAAGTTGTTTTGTTTTTGTTTTTGTTTTACCTACAAAGCATTTTCTCACCCAAATGTTAAGAGGGAGGCCCGTTGTCCCATCTTACAGATGAAGGTACTGAAAACTAGAGGTCAAGGTAGGAGCTGGGTTCAATCTCGGGACCCCAAGGCCCAGGGGTCTCTGTGGCTCTGTCCTGTACCTTTATCTGCTTCCCCGGCCCCCTCCATCCATGAGACACTAGGCGCTCCCCCATCGCGCGTCGAGATTAATCCAGAGAGTGAACAGGTTGGAAAGCGCGGGTGGGGGTGTCCTTGGTCAGGTGGCGGACCCTGAGGTGGGGTGTGCTCCACTCGGTTATAGGGCAGCGGGGACACAGGGGCCCGGGAAACCCCGACCTAGTCTGGGGCTAAGACCCTTGGTGAGAAGACGCAGCAGGCTTCTGAGCGCGGGGAGACTCTTCCAGGCTCCAGGTGACAACTCTGCGCCACCAGTTTCCGGAGACCGGATGTGTGTGCTCTCCGGCCCCTGCACACCGCTGCGAGGTGGACCCAGGGACGCTGCGTGTGTGCAGGGCGTGGAGCCTCTCACCTCCGCGTACGGAAGGGTGATTGTTGCTCTGCTCCAAGCACGGGGTGGCTGGCCTGGCTTGCTACATTGGGAAAATGTAGCAGTGTGACATCTCCCCATTGCCTGCACGATCACGTCTGAGCCCTTTAAGGCGGCCTACGGGGCCCTGATCTGGCCCTGCGCCTTCTTAACCTCTCCCCTTCCGACG